GTTCAGTAATTATTCACAGCTCTCTCCCCCTTGCTTCAACCCGGGACTATGCCTCTAAGCGGCAGTATTTACTTTGCCTCTTTTCTTGGCATCTGAGTTGTGCAGCAAATCTCTTCTTTCTGCCCTTCATAAATAATAAGCCAAAATGTGATCTATTCATATAGTGGCATATTATTCAATCATTAAAAAAAAAAAGCTGGGCACTGGTGGTGGCTCACACCTGTAATCCCAGCTACTTAGGAAACTGATATGTGAAGATTGTGGTTCAAAGCCAGCCGTAGGGTCCATGCTCATTTTGGCAGAGCACTAGCCTTGAGCAAAATAACTCAGAGTGTGTAGGCCCTGAGTTCAAGTCCCAGGACTAGCACAAAAAAAATTATAGAGGGGCTGGGAATGTGGCTTAGTGGTATGGTTCTTGCCTAGCATGCATGAAGCCCTGAGCTCAATTCCTCGGTACCACATAAACAGAAAAAGCTGGAAGTGGCGCTGTGGCTCAAGTGGTAGAGTGCTAGCCTTGAGCAAAAGAAGGTCAGGAACAGTGCCCAGACCCTGAGTTCAAGCTCCAGGGCTGACATACATACGTCGCGCGCGCACACACACACACACACACACACACATTTTATATATATGTGTGTGTGTGTGTGGAATTTTAACTTTTACTTTGGGTTTATTCTGGAACTACATAGTGGTGATGGCGGCACAGAGGTGTGACTTTTATCTCAATTACCAAAACCAGGGATGGAAGACATGCCCACATGTTTGTATGCTGGTGGAACAATCTAGTAGAAAATGGATGGGATAATTTTTTTGGGGGGGTGACCCCTTGCTCCAGAAGCTGGGGGGAGGGGCCAGGAACTTGAGAGACAGGATTTTTGGTTAGTTGGTTCTCATGACAGAAGAATCCAGAGTGGGTTGGCCCTGTGCAGGTTGGCTGGTTGGTGTTGAGGGCGGCATCAGTGGAAGTTGCCCAGACCCTCCCATTCTGCCACAAGCACTGGCAAGCAGCGCTGTGGCACCACTTTGGTGAGCACTAGGTGTGCATCTGAAAGAACAAAGTGTCACACAGCACGCTGCCGCTAGAAGGCGCCCACGCCCTACCCCCACACCCTCCAGCCCCAGGCTGCCTGCTGGACACAGTTCCCCATCAAGGGACCTTCAGCTTTTTGTTATTTTTGTTAAGCATATGCATAATTCACAAATAGATTACAGTCACACAACCCATAGTGACACTGGGGAGGGGTTACATCAAGAGTACTATGGGCAGGGGCAGCTCAGGGGTGAAGCACTTGGGGGGGGGGGTGGAGAGGGTGGGATAATGGAGCTGAACACTTCTGATTGTCTGGTGACATCATATCCCCATGACATCTACAGCCTCATAGCAGAAAGTATGGCTCATGTGCCTGTGGTAATGCTGTTATAAAAGAGCCTCCTGTGCAGCCTTACAGTTATTTCATTAGGCATTTTCATGCATGCTAGCTAGCCATAGTATTAGCTGGCCATTTTCCCCTATTTAAGAATACAATAGCCGGTGCCAGTGGCTCATGCCTATAATCCTAGCTACTCAGGAGGCTGAGATCTGAGGATTGCAGTTCCAAGCCAGCCCAGGCAGAAAAGTCCATGAGCTTTTTTTTTTTTTGGTCAGGCGTGGGGCTTGAACTCTGGGCTTGGGCACTGTCCCCGCACTCTTCACTCAAGGCAAGCACTCTACCGCTTCAGCCGCAGCACCACTTCCAAGTTCTTACATCCAATAAACTACTCAGAAAAAGCCAGAAGTGGTGCTATGGCTCAAGTGGTAGAGCACTAGCCTTGAGCACAAAGAGGCTTAGGGACAACACCCAGGCCCTGAATTCAAGCCCCAGGACCAGAAGGGGAAACAAAAAAAAAAAAAAAAAAACATTGAGGATCTAGGTATGGCAGTGTATTCTCTTAATCCCTGCACTGTGAAAGCTGAGAAGAATCCTGACTTTGAGGCCAGCCTGGACTACATAGGGAGACTATGTCAAAAAAAAACAATGAAACTGGGCGCCAGTGGCTCACTCCTATAATCCTAGCTACTCAGGAGGCTGAGATCTGAGAATCTCGGTTCAAAGCCAGCCCGAGAAAGAAAATCTGTGAGACTCTTATCTCCAATAAACCACTAGAGGGCTGGGAAGGTGGCTCAGTGGTAAAGTGCTTGCCTTGCATGCCTGAGGCCCTGGGTTCGATTCCTCAGCACCACATAAGCAAAAAGGAAAAAGCCGGAAGTGACACTGTGGCTCAAGTGGTAGCACGCTAGCCTTGAGCTGAAGAGCTGAGGGACAGCGCCCAGGCCCAGAGTTCAGGCCCCACAACCGGACCCCCCCTCCCAAAAAAAAAAAAAACACTAGAAAACCGGAACTGGTGCTGTGGCTCAAGTGGTAGAGCGCTCGCCTTGAGCTAAAGAGCACAGGGGCAGTGCCTAAGCCCAGAGTTCAAACCCCACAACTGACCAAAAAAAAAAAAAAAAGATAAAGTGCACGTAACACATTTACTAACTTTATTCTTTTTTCTTTTTTTGCTAGTCCTGGACACTGTCCATGAGCTTTCGCTAAAGGCTAGCACTCTACCACTTGAGCCATAGGGCCACTATTCTGCCTTTTTCTGTTTATGTGGTACTGAGGAATGGAAGCTAGGGCTTCACGCATGCTAGGCAATACTCTACCACTAAGCACTGAGGTTTAAACACAGGGCCTGGGCATTATCTATCAGCTTTTTCACTCAAGGCTAGTGCTCTACCACTTGAACCACAGTTCTACTTCCAGCTTTCTGGTGGTTAGTCTTATGTACTTCCTTTTTTTTTTTTTTTTTTGTCGGCCGTGGGGCTTGAACTCTGGGCCTGGGCGCTGTCCCTCAGCTCTTCAGCAAAAGGCGAGCGCTCTACCACTTGAGCTACAGCGCCACTTCCAGTTTTCTGGTGGTTTATTGGAGATAGGAGTTTCACGGTCTTTCCTGCCCGGGTTGGCTTTGAACCGCGATCCTCAGATCTCAGCCTCCTGAGTAGCTAGGATTACAGGCGTGAGCCACCAGCGCCCGGCTTATGTACTTTCCTTCCCAGGCTAGCTGCAAAGTGTGATTCTCAGATCTCAGCCTCCAGAGTAGCTAGGATTACAGGCATGAGCCACCAATGCCTGGCCTTTTTAAGTCTTTCTTTTTTTAAATTTTAGTAGTACTACGGGTGTGAACTCAGGGACTCAGACTAGCTAGGTGGGTGATCTGCTGCTCAAGCCACATCCCCAGCTTTCCCATTTTAAATTTTATCTTCCTCTTTTGTTTTCTTTCAGGCTGGTTCTCTACCCCTTGAGCCATACCTCCTGTCTGGCATTTTGCTGGTTAATTGGAGATGGAGTCTCAGACTTTTCTACTTTGGCCGGCCTCAAACCACAATCCTTCAGATTTCAGCCTCCTGAGTATCTAGGATTACAGGTTTGAACCATTGGTGTCCAGCTGCACTTGCCTTTTAACTGTGCCTGGTTCCATGAGGTGAGGTACATATTTCTCCTCTCACGGTATCAAAGATTTACAGATTTTTGGAGCTTTTAGGATTTCTGGATGAAGGATGCTCAACTTTGGCCTGCATTTCAATCCTTTCCTCTTGCTCTTGGTGTCTGTGGCTGGAGGTAAATCCTCCTTTACCTATGAGTCATCTGCAATCTTCCCTGTGGTCAACCACTTCTGGTTTTCATCTTCCTGCTTTGTCTTGAGATCTATTTTTTCTATGAGAGATTACATCCATTCTCATCATCCCTTTCTACTCCTTTGGTTCTGTCTGTCTCTGATTTTTCTTCTCCCATCTGTGTTCCCTCTGGGCCATCCCTCCTTTTTTGTTTTTTGTTTTGTTTTGTTTTTTTTTTTGGTCGGCTGTGGGGCTTGAACTCTGGGCCTGGGCGCTGTCCCTCAGCCCTTCAGCTCAAGGCGAGTGCTCTACCACTTGAGCTACAGCACCACTTCCGGTTTTCTGGTGGTTTATTGGAGATAGGAGTTTCACGATCTCTCCTGCCTGGGCTGGCTTTGAACCGAGATCCTCAGATCTCAGCCTCCTGAGTAGCTAGGATTACAGGTATGAGCCACCAGCGCCTGGCTTCTCATAGACTTTTTTGTCTGACCTGGCTTTGAGCTGCAATTCTTAAGTCTCAGCCTCTTGAGTAGCTAGGATTACAGGCATGAGCCACCGGAGCCCGGCATCCCTCCTTTTTTGTATGTGTATACCGGGCCTGGGGCTTGAACTCAAGGCTTGGGTGCTTTCTGAGGTTTTCTGGTTCAAGTCTAGCACGCTACCACTTGAGCACCACAGCTCTGCTTCCTGCTTTTTGTGAAGTAAATTGGAGATAGGTCTCGCAGCCATTTTTTTTGGTCTGGGCTGGACATTCTACTTTGAGTTAGAGACATGAGTATCTTGGGTTTCTCTGTTGGCTTTGCACCTTGATCCTCAGATCTCAGCCTCCTGAGTAGCTAGAATTACAGGAATGAGCCACCAGCACCCAGCTTATAGGGGAACTCCTGATGAAACCCTGGACTCAGGATGAGTTCCTTGAGAAGCCTGTGGGAATTTACACCTCTACCCAGAGCCTCTTCCACTGTCCTCAGAGAGTCTAAAGGAGACCATGAGGGTGGCTTTGTGGATGGTTTCGAGCAGAAGCCACAGGGACACAGGCACATGGATGGGCTTTCTCTCTACCCTCCTGCCTGATCCCTGACTACTGTGTGATGTTAGGCAAAAGATTTTCCCTTTCTGAGCTTGGAACCATTTTGTCTGTAAGGAAAGGAAGGCAAAGGAAGGCCCTGGAGTAGAAGGAGGCGGCTTGTTTAGTATGCTAGATGGCCTGGGGGTCGCTTAGTAACAGCAGAGTCTCCATGCCTACTTGCTGTCTGTGGCCCTAGCAGAGGCCACCGATGCAAAGAGCACATACACATACAGTCCTGGATCTCTCCGGGCCTCTGGGGAAAGGAGCTGTGACAGGGACCTACAGTTCACAGGAAGACAATTCAGGTCCGTTCTAGTTTTATTGGATGTTGGGGCAGGGCCATTGGTGGTAGTGATGTGGTGTCTAGAGTCCTGTTACCTCTGGAGACTCTGTCCAGTTGACCAGAGGAATGGAAGGAGGGTGAGCAGAGGGAAGGGGCTAGAGACAGATCATCAGCCCTCCCACTGATGGGCAGGGCCCTCCCAGTCTCTGCCAAGTTGGCCCAAGCAAGGGTCTCTGCTCCAGCCACCCACAGAGAGTGCAAGTGCTGAGCACAACCCCTCATGGCCAGTCTTCATGCTGGTTATGTGGTTGGGATGTGCCCATTGGCCAGCCGCCCAGCTGCCCGGCTCCGGGGGCCATTACTGGGGACAGCCCCAGGCCCTTGAGTCACCCCATTCTTCAGCTGTGGACCTTTGCGTGCCACCTCATCATCGCTGTAGTCAGATTCTTCCTCATCACTGCGGACGTCCTTTCCCAGCTGGGGAAACAGAGAGATGTAGCTAGGAATGGGCGGGGCCCTAGTGGGTGGAGCTTAGGATGGGTGAGGCTTAGCTGGGCGGAGTTGAATGGGCGGGGCTCAGAATGAGTGGAGTAAGGGCAGTGGAGCGTAGAGTGGGCAGGGCTTACCTGGGTAGAGCTGAGTGGGAGGGGCCCAGAGTGAGGGGTTTGGGGGTAGGCTCAGAGCAGGGAGGATATTGGGGTGGAGTGGGGCAGGGCAGGGGAGGCCCTGAAAAGCACGTGCAAGCTAACTCTTGGGCAGACCATACCTGACCCTTCCTCAGGACGTTGTAGATCATGCGCAAAATGAGGCAGAACCAATACACATGTAACACCTGCAGCATTATCAGAAGCGTATTGAAGAAGTAGTAGCCAAAGAAGGGGCCGCTGTTCTCGACAGAGTCGAACAACGTAGTGTAGAGGATCCTATAGTAGGAAAGATGAGTTTTGTTTGTTTTTTGTCGGTTGTGGGTCTTGAACTGTGGACCTGGGTGCTGTCCCTCAGCTCTTCAGCTCAAGGCTAGTGCTCTACCATGTGAGCCACAGCGCCACTTCTGGCTTTTGGGTGGACATTGGAGATAAGAGTCTCATGGGCTTGCCTGCCCATGCTGGCTTTGAACCGTGATCCTCAGATCTCAGCCTCCTGAGTAGCTAGGATTATAGGCATGAGCCACCGGCACCTGGCAGGATGAGGTTTTAAAAAGGCTTCACCTCTTCTCTGAGCTCTTGGTTGGTCTGTAGTGCTCCTTCCCTCCCTCCTCCTCCCTTCTCTTGGTTGGTCATAGGGCTTGGCTTGAGAGCTGTCCCTGAGCTTTTTTGCTCAAAGCTAGTGCTCTACCACTTTGAGCCACAGGTCCCCTTCCGTTTTTCTGGGGGTTCAATGGAGATAAGAGCCTTATGCACTTTCTTAGCCCAGCTGGCTTTGAACCATGATCCTCATATTGCAGTCTCCTGATAGGATTACAGGCATGAGCCAGCAGCCCATGCTTTCCTCTCTTCATCTCACCCTGCTTTTTCTGCTCCAGCCATTAGTTCTTGCTTCTTCCAATATCTGGAGCACAGTCTAGTCTCAGGGCCTTAGCATATACTGTTCCCTCAAGCCTGGACCAATCATTTTCTCCATAATCCAGGAGATCAACAGTAAATAATTAAGCTCAGTTCTCCATCCCTCTTACCTCTGGCATTTTACATATGTTGTGTCGGTCACACCCTTCCCTGGTTTCTAGAAGAATCCCAGCCAATACCTCCACCTCTCCCCAGGGCAGGGCACCAAGGGGTGAGTCGGAGACTGGCCGGGGATGTCAGACATGCTCTCCCACCTCCCTAGCCCCTCAGGAGGGCTAACTTACTTCGTGGGGAAGATTATGAGGCGGGTGTAGAAGAAGACCGAAGAGAAGACAAAGAAGAGAGCAGTGCACGCTGACCCAAAGCCTGCATAGCTGAGCATCTTACCGACCTGGGGAAGATAGCACAAGAAATGAGCTCAGCAGTGGGGCAGGGGAGTGCTGGACCTGGCCACGCTTGGAAGAGAAGATAAAGGTTTGGACTAGTTAAATCTGACAGCTTATCTCCAGAAATGCCTAGAAAGGTGAGGGGGAGCCAGAGAGAGACTTCCCAAGGATGCTGAGGGGGTGGGCTTTCGTCTTCTAGGGAGACAGAGGGGGCGAGGCCTCATGGCCTGGGCTGGAGGGGAGGAACCTCATCTCCTAGGGAGACTGAGAGGTGAAGCTTCCTGTTTAGGAGGCTGGGAAAGCCAAGTCGGGGAGCACCGGGGAGGGGGCTCCTCTTCTAGAGAAACTCATGAGGCCTCTGGTCCATGACTGGGTAAGGCAGGACCTCAAGACCCAGAAGGGTTGAAAGGGACAGGGGGCTCAGGTCCCAGGAGGGCTGGGAGGGGCGGAGCCTCAGGTCCCAGGAGGGCTGGGAGGGGCGGGGCCTCAGTTCAGGAGGGCTGAGAGGGGCGGGGCCTCATCTCTAGGGGCTCCGGAGAGCAGGTGTGAGTGCTGCCCAGGCCGCCCACCTCCAGCAGGTAGTCAGCGGAGTCATGCAGCAGCAGCACCAGGGTGCCTATGCGCAGCAGGTTGGAGCAGTAGGAGAAGGATATCAGGGTAATTGTCACGAAGTGATGGATCACCTGCTCCTTGAAATCCTGTAGGAGATGGTAGGGCACAGCCATAGCAAAGCAGGCGCTCCAGTCTTCACCCCCACCCCCACCATGGGTCTGAACCCAGACCTTCTCAGGGGATCATGTGCGGCCTCTGAACCCCACACCACCTGTCCCAGGGACCAAATGGGCATTCCCTCCTGCCTATGGCAACCCCTTCCCCAACTGGGCCCTTGGCTTGTCTCACCTTGCGTTTGATGTCAAAGGGCAGTGTGATTAGCAGGGAAATGTAGAAACTCAGTTCCAGAAGGTACCACCAGTACAGTTCTGGCTGCAGGGTCTAAGACAGGACACAGCAGTTAGCTGTGAACTGTGAAGACTATCAGACAGGAACAGACTCGGGAACTGCCAGGTTTGCTCTAAGCTGGGACACTCGAGTCCCAATGAAGGAGGAAGGCGTGAGCTCTCCAGCCTTGGAGGTAACCAAAGGCCCTGGTGAGTGGTGTGGCAGCTCTTGTTTTGGGTTTTCTCCTTCCCAGATCCTCATGATTCTGTTTTTATTTTTGTCAGTCATGGGACTTGAACTTGGGGCCTGGGTGCTGTCCCTGAGCTTTATTGCTCAAGGCTAGTGCTCTACTGCTTTGAACCACAGTGCCACTTCTGGCTTTCTGGGGGTTAATTAGAGGTGAGAGTCTCATGGACTTTCCTGTCCAGGCTGGTTTTGAACCATGATCCTCAGATATCAGCCTCCTGAGTAGCTAGGATTACAGGCGTGAGCCACCAGCGCCTGGCCTCATTATTCTATAGAAGAGTTGAATTTAGAGAGCAGAATTGGGGGTATGATATTGGGCCCATGGCCACAAGAACCAGGTTTCTCACTACCCCCTGCTACTCACCTGGTTTGGGTGATTTTCCCAGCATTTTTTCTCATTCCACATCCATGACGCCTAGAAAGAAATAGGGATCTCAAGTTCTTAGAGGTCACAAGGTTCACCCTGGGTGTGGGACCTCCCCAATGGGGTTTCGCTCAGCCCTGTTTTTTTCCTGCCCGGCCCTATCTCTGCCTGTCACTTCTCCATGGGGTTTCCATTTGTGGATGCTTTCCAACAAGAGCACCAGAAGCACAGGTGGGCAGTTGGGGGTACTCACGTGGTAGAGGATGGAAATGCCACCAGTGAAAGAACACAGGTAGAAGACAAACTTCCAGCTATGAGCAGAAAGGGAGCCGGTGAGGGAGCAGCCACAGAGCTGACCCCCTCCCCTGTGCACCAACCCCCTCCTCTAGGTTACCTGGCCTCACAGAATTTCTTGGACAGGCGGGGCCTTTCTTGGTTCCGTCGTCTCCGGAACCAGCATTGAGTCTGACGCAGGGTGAGCCCGCACTGAGCGGCCAGGAGGGCCATCTGGGTCTGGGGAGGGGATGATGGGGGCAAGGTCACAGGGTCCCACTGGTGGCTTTTCCCCGGTCTGTTCCCTAGATACAGGACCTGGCTCTGCTTCGCCTTCCCTTGCAGCCCTGGATGCTGTGTGTTGGGGTAACCTTGTCTATTCTGGAGGGAGAGTGAGGAAGGGGAGAGTCGCCCAAAACACTAACTACACCCTGATCACAGGGTAGGCAGACCACAGATGGACTGGCATTAAGAATGAATCTGGGTGCCGGGCACTGGTGGGTCACACCTGTCATCCTAACTACGCTGGAAGCTGAGATCTGAGGATCGAGGTTCAAAGCCAGCTCAGGCAGTTAAGTCTGTGAGACTCTTATTTCCAATAAACCACTCAGGAAAATGGAAGTGATGCTTGGCCCAAGTAGTAGAGCACTAGCCTTGAGTTGAAGAGCTCAGGGACAAAGCCCAGGCCCAGAGTTCAAGCTCCACGACCAACAACAACAACAAAAAGAATGACTCTGGGGCCAGTCCAGCAGGGGGATTTCTCTAGAAGGGTCTGGTAGATGAGAACTTCCTCCATTATGGCATAGGCCCTGGCCCAGTCCCAGCCCACTCAGCAGCAGGGCAGAAATGGAGGGAAAGTCCCAAAGCTGCCTCTGCTAGCACCCCTGGAGTACCCAGACACGGTCCATCCCCAGGACAGGGGGAGAAAATTGTTCCTGTTCTCTGCATCCCAGAATTCTGCAGGATTGTGCAACTGTGAATACAGGTCTAGGAGGGGTGGGGCCTTGTATTTCACCCAGCCTGGGAGGGGCAGGGCCTCACCTCTCAACTAGATGGCAGGGGCAGGGCATCCGTTCCCATATAGAATAGGGGGTGGAGCCCCCAAGACCCAAGGGGGCGGGGCCTAAGCTCCCAACTAGCAAGAGGGAAGGATGGGGCCTCAGCTCCCTAGGGGATGGAGAGGACAGGGCCTCACCTGTCAGGAAGAGTGTGAACTCCAGGTAGTGTACAAGGTCCCCCAGCAAGCAGACTACATACATATCACCCTGGTGCTGGGTCCCCAGGGTAGCCCTGTGGCCACGTGGGTGGGGTGGCGGTGGCTTTTACCTCTGTGGGTCTCCTCCCTGTTCTGAGGAAGTACTTTTCCAGCGTGGCATTGGGATTAGCGTGCCTTCTGATCTGATCCCGCACTCCCATCCACCGGCTCAGGGGCAGGGCCACAAATCTGGGAGCAGGGAAGACAGAGTCCATCAGAGCTCACAGGGCACAGTAGCTCTCTCCTATAATCCCAACTCCTCAGAAAGTAGAGATGTGGAGGACTGCCATTCAACGGCAGCTTGGGCAATTTTTTTTTTTTTTTCTTTTTGGACGGTCATGGAGCTTGAACTCTGGGCCTGGGCGCTGTCCCTGAGCTCTTCAGCTCAAGGCAAGCGTTCACACAGCACCAGTTTTCTGGTGGTTTAATGGAGATAAGAGACTCACGAAATGTTCTGCCCAGGCTGGCTTTGAACCGTGATCCTCAGATCTCAGTCTCCTGAGTAGCTAGGATGACAGGCGTGAGCCACCGGCGCCTGGCTCAAAAATATTATTGAATCTCAATGTTTTTTGAAGCGTTGGGAGTTTGTTGGTCACACCTGTCCTTCCAGCTGTGTTGGAAGTATAGAGGGTGAGTGTGGTCCAGGCTGCCAGGGGTTAAATGTAAGGCCCTATGTCAAAATAAGAAGGGGGTGGGTATATGGTTCAAGTGGTAGAGTGACCACTTTGCAAGCACAAGGACCTGAGTTCCAGAGTTTTTTAAAAAAGGAAGGTAGCCTTCTTGTCTTCAGGATGAGATAAATAGAGGCCACCTCATAGGCAGCCGGGTACCCTCACTCTCACTAGGCTGAGGGCTCCTAGGGCAGGAGAAGAGCTAGCCTGCTGCATTTGAGGGTCCCTCCCCCACCGAGGGGAAGATTTCTGGTCAGCACCACTCTGCCCACTAGGTGGCGCCCCAGGCCACAGATGGGAACCATAAAGTAAGATGTATGACAGTCCCATGTCAATGGGGGGAGAGGAGGAGGGGACAAGGTGGGGGGGTTGGGGGGGAGGTGTCTTGGAATCCAGACTTAAAAGAGCCAAGGCAATGGTGGAGTGTGGAGGAGGTGTCACAAAGAAGGTGGTGGAATAGATGGGTATGGGTGTGAGAAGGGGAGACTATGGGGTGGCAGGCAGACTGCTTTTGGGTGGGTAGGTGGGTGGGTCTGGCAGGTCAAGTCTGGGTGGCCACAGCACAGATGCCAAGGCTGTGGGGAGGGCATAATTTTGCCCTCAGGAGAAAGGAGGAACCCCAGGTTCCCGACATGAACCTTATGAAAATTCACAGGGTTTGGCAGCAAGGTCACTGAGATGTGGGGCAGGTGACACTAAACCTGGACAGCAGGGCTGTAAGAGATTGCAGGGAATGAAGAACAGGATAGGGACGGGGTTAGACGGAGCCAGGAGGCCTGTAACTCTAGCACCTGGGAGGCCACAAGATCAAGGCCAGCAAAGGAGGGCTGGGGGGGAGGGTGGAGAGGAGACAGCTCTTACCCATGGGGCACATCAGGAGGAGGACCTGAAGCTCTCTCTGGCCTCTTTTGTGCTCAGCAAATCCAGAGTCCCCCCCTCTTCTTCTATGAAGCTGGCGGTGGCATAACTCACCCTGATCTGTGTGTGGCCCCTTGTCCCCATCAACCAGGGTCAGGAGGAAGTGGGTGGGGGCAGCCACCTGGGACTAGGGAAGACAAGATCCCCCTCCTCCTTCCTCCCCCACAGGCCGGCACGTGCAGCCTCCCAGACCCCACACTCACCTCTCAAAGGTGAGGCGCACGGCCACCAGGACCAGCGCCAGGGGCAGGGCCGCCAGCATGTGCCGAGGGTGGGCAAACACCAGGCCATCACGGTCCTCCAGCTGGGCCCACGTGTTGTTAGGTGGCAACCAAAACCTCTCCTGCCATAGCCACTCCATCAGGCTGGACAGCATGGTGTGAACACTGCCTGTGACAAGAGCTCTGCAAGGGGGGGGGGTGTTAATGTGACTGGGCTGAGTCTGCCAGGCACAAACCCACCTTCCTCCTCTTCCTCTTCTGCCCCATCTAGGAAATGGACACCCCTGCCACCCACATCTGCCCGGGCCTCAGAGGTGGGCAGGGCCAGGGCCTGTGGCAGAGTGTGTCATCTGTTCACTAGTCTATCTGCCCATTTTTCAACCTGTCCATCTCTCGTTCATACACACACCCACCCAGTAACCATCTGTCTAACCATCTACCCATCATTCATTCATCCATCCATCCACCCACTCATACATTTATCCATCCAGCCATCCATCCATCCATCCATCCGTCATTCATTCATCTATCCACCTACCATCTATCCACCAATCAATCCATCAACCCATCCACCCACCCACTCATACACTTCATCCATTCATCTATCCATCCAATCATCCATCCTTCATTTATTTATCTAGCCATCATTCATTCATCCATCCATCTACTTAGCATCACATCATCCATCACCCATCCACCCATCCATCCATCTACTTAGCATCCATCCACCAAGTCACCCATCAATCCATCCATCCATCCACTAATCCATCCATTCATATCCCCCACCCCCTCCCATTCTGGGGCATGAACTCAGGGCCTGGGTGCTGTCCCTGAGCCCCTTTATGCTCAAGGCTAGCACTCTACCACTTGAGCCACAGTGCCACTTCTGGCTTTTTCCAAGTAGTTTATTGGACATAAGAGTCACACGGTGGCGTTTTCTTCAAACCATGATCCTCAGATCTTAGCCTTCTGGGTAACTAGGATTACTGGCGTGAGCCACCAGCACCCGGATCATCTTTCATTACTTCATCCATCCACCCACTCATACACTTATCCATCAATCCATCCACCAATCCATCCATCCATCATTCATTTATCCATCCATCTGCCTAGTATCTATGACCCATTACCCACCCATCCACCCATCTATCCACCCATCCGTCATCCGTCATCCCCCACCCACCCATCCAGCGGGCCGTCTATCAGCCCATCATCCATTACCCCTTCATCTATGCATCCACCCATCCAGTCATCCATTCAGGCAGCAGCTATTCTGGTTATCATGTCCCGTTCATGCAAGGTTGGAGCTGGGCCTTAGGGACACAGCAGGGGAACAAAGCTGACACATTCCTGGCCCTATGGAAGTCACAGCTCTGCACAGAAGGCAGCCAAAAGATGAGTAAACAGATTCATAAATACCAGAGGGTAGAGGGAGGTGTGATTTTCAAATATGGTGACAGATCTTCTCTGGGGGTGCCACAAAGAGTTTTATGTAGAAAAGAGAGGGGACCGGGATGAGGGGGCTTTCCCGATCTTTAGTAGAAGGTGCAAAGGTCCTGAGGCACGTCCTGTTGGAGGGCTAGCAATTAGGCCCATGTGATTAACTTTTTTTTTCTTTTTTACAATGAATGCCTGTAAACCCAAATGCTACCCCCTTTACAAATTCTGTCTGTTTGCTTCACCACACATCTGCCTGTCTTATCAGTCCACCTTGTTTGCCTGGATGCATCTGAAAGTCAGCAGGAGACATCCAGTCTAATGGCTTCCACACGTTTCAGCAGGCAGATCATTAACTAAGGTTTGTTTTCTTTCAAGATAAGAAGATTCATTAGCGTGAAAGGTGGACCTAAGTGCATGGATGTTAACTTTGCACAAATCCCTGACCGTGAACCAAGTAATGCAATCTTCCCCTCCCTACTTCCCCCTACATCTCTCTCTCCCTCTCCCTCTCCCTCTGTCTCTCTTAGAACAGGTCTCATAAAACAGCTCAGACTGGCCTTACCTTACGTAGCTGGATAAACTAGGGAAAATGACGAATGGTCAGCTTACAGCAAATACAGAAGATATTCCTTTATGTACTCCCTTAAGATTAAGGGAATGGGGCTGGGAATGTGGCTTGGCGGTAGAGTGCTTGCCTAGCATGCATGAAGCCCCTGGGTTCCATTCCTTAGTACCACAGAAACAGAAAAAGCTGGAAGTGGCACTGTGGCTCAAGTGGTAAAGTGCTAGCCTTGAGCAAAAAGAAGCTCAGGGACAGTACCCAGGCCCAGAGTTCAAGCCCCAGGACAGGCAAAAAAGAAAAAAACAAAAAAAAAGATTAAGGGGAGCTGGGAAAGTGGCTCAGTGGTAGAGTGCTTGACTTGCATGCATGAGGCCCTGGGTTCAATTCCTCAGCACCCCATAAGCAGAAAAAAGCTGGAAGTGGCGCTGTGGTTCAAAGTGGTAGAGCGCTCGCCTTGAGCTGAAGAGCTGAGGGACAGCGCCCAGGCCCAGAGTGCAGGCCCCATGACCGGCAAAAAAACAAACAAAAAAAAGATTAAGGGAACAAAGTCATTTTAGGGGAAATGAAGCCAGATAGACTAGGGGGGAAATAAGGAATGGTCAGCTTATAACAAATACAGGAGATATTCCTTCATGTACTTCCCTTAAGATTAAGAAAGCAAAGTCATTTTAGGGGAAATGAAGCCAAATAACTTAAGGAAACTGAAGCCTGGTGAAAGCAACTCAGAAATATGGGATTCAGAAACATGGAAATGCTATCTTTGCTTCTAAGAGAGACAACAGGATTCATTCCTTCCTGAGGGATACATTTTTTTCACCCAAGAATTAACACTTGTCTGACAGGATGTATGCTTTCCTGAGAAACATCTGCTTCCCTAGCTTCCCTAACCTTACCACCACCTCCCCCAAAATGCAGATAGCAGGGCGCCTCCTGGTCTCAAGGATAAGGATCTGCTTTAGGGCAGGATGCATTCTTGCCTGCAAACTCAGAAAGTAACACCAGGTGTGATTAGAGCAAAGATAAAGCACCTAGGTTTACCTAACTTTGAGCTCTCTCTGGGTCTGTCTGTGTGTGTGTGTCTCTCCTCCCTCCCCTGCCCTGTGTGTGTCTCTGTGTCCATCTCCCTATGAGAGCACATACGCTTTGCTAGAGTGTGCCCTTGCCCTTCCGTCTGTTTGCTTTTTTGTCTGTCTGCTTGCCTGCTTGTTTACTTACTCAGTAAAGCTCTGCCAAGCTCTCTCACTATTTTGGCCTGTCCAGAAATTCTTATTCTGCGATCGACATCAAGAACCCTAAGTGAAGAATTCCTACATTTAAAGGGGAGCTTCACTAAACTTCACCTCTGTCTGGTGCTCTACCACTTGAACCACAGCACCACTTCCGGTTTTCTGGTGGTTTATTGGAGATAAGATTCTCATGGCTTTGAACTGCGATCCTCAGATCTCAGCCTTCTGAGTAGCTAGGATGACAGGCGTGAGCCACCAGCGCCCGGTTTATAAATAACTTTTGAGCCAGGCACCAGTGGTTCATGCCTGTAATCCTAGCTACTCAGGAGGCTGAGATCTGAGGATCAGGGCTTCAAAACCAGCCAGGCAGGAAAGTCTGGGAGACTCTTAACTTCAATCAACCACCAAAAAACCGGAAGTGGTGCTGTGGCTTAAGTGGTAGAGTGCTAGGCTTTAGCTGAATAGCTGAGGGACAGTGCCCAGGCCCAGAGTCCAAGCCCCATGACTGACAAATAATAATATATTTTTTATGTGTTAAAATGAACTCATGCGGGGCCCTGGTGGCTCACACCTGTAATCCTAGCTACTCAGGAGCCTGAGATCTGACAATTGTGGTTTGAAGACAACATGGGCAGGAAAGTCTGTAAGACTCTTATCTCTATTTAACCTCAAAAAAAAAAGCTAGAGTGGGGCTATGGCTCAAGTAGTACAACACCAGACTTGAGTGAAAAAGCTAAGGGACAGTGCCCAGGCCCTGAGACCTACACAAGTCCAAAGACCAACACACACACTCACACACACACACACACAATGCCAGGAGGAAGGAGGAGGGGGAGGATCTAATCAAATGAAGAATGTTGAAGGCTGAGTGTGGTTCCGTGGCACAGAACTTGCCTGGCATTTATTTTGTGCCACTCTAGGACTTGAACTCAGGGCCCCTGGGCACTGTCCCTGAGCTTTTTCCCTTGAGGCTAGCACTCTACTGTTTGAGACACAGCTCCACTTCCAGCTTTTTGGTGGTTAACTGGAGATAATCTCATGGACTTTCTCGCCTAGGCTGGCTTTGAATCATGATCCTCAGGTCTCAGCCTCCTGAGTAACTAGGATTGTAGGTGTGAGCCACCACCAGCGACTGGCTAGGTAGTTGATCTTGCTAGCAAAGGAAACATCTTTAGCAACATGCCCAATGGAGTTCAAGGGCAAGTGTCCAACATGGTACTTCTGGCCTCACCTGTCCAAGCTTCCAGAAACCCTGCATCCCTTGGCTTGTGGCCTCTTCCTCCCTCTTCAGAGCATATGTGCATAGTCTTGTCTCTCTTTGGCTCTGCCTGAGTCACGGCCGTGGCAGGCCATGTGCAGCCTCCTTTTGGGGAATCATCTGACAGACATTCCCCTTCCCAAGGAAAGATCGCCAGGCCTGGATATAGATCTTAGGAGTCAGGGCCCGTGTCCATGTCCCCAGCCCCAAGGCCTCACCGTTTACTGCTTGACCCTCAGCCTCCCCCAGTCTTCACACACCCTAGCCTTCAAAATTGTACTGCACCCATGATCGGTGCTGAGAACACAAAACAGGAGAGGAGATGGGCAAGTCTTTATCCTCATGGGAGCTTACGTGCCTTCTTTGTTTGGTTAAAACTCCTATGCATCCTTCAAAACTCAGCTCAGTTGTCACCTCCTCCTGCAGGTACTCCTTGGTTGCTTAACTCTTGAACCCAGTGCAAATACCTTCCCTAAGTTCTGCCTCCTTCACCATGACATCAAGAGCTGGTCAGGCAGTCTTTGAGGTGTGTGTGGAGAAGGGAAAGATGTAGAAGGTATAATTAGCCTCCAACTGAAGTAGGCCCACCCTCTTCGAAGCCAAAGTTTAAAGAGACAGAATGTATTTTCCTGGCCTGGGGATGTGGCTTACTTAGTGGTAGAGTGCTTGCCTAGCATGCATGAAGCCCTGGGTTCAATTCCTCTGTACCACATAAACAGAAAAAACCAGAAGTTAGCACAGTGGCTCAAGTGGTAGAGTGCTAGCCTTGAGCAAAAGAAGCTCAGAGACAGTGTCCAGGTGCTAAGTTCAAGCCCAGGACTGGCAAACACAAAAAAAATAAATAAAATTATATATCTGTGTGTGTGTGTGTGTGTTCCTTTCTTTCCCCTTCTCTCTTTCTTTGTGCTGGTGCTGGGGCTTGAACTCATGGCCTGAGACCCATCCTTTACCTTGTCTACTTGAGGCTGACATCCTACCTACTTGGTCACACCTCCACTTCTGGCTTTTTGCTGTTTCATTGGAGATCAGAGGGTCACAGACTTTCCTGCTTGGGTTGGCTTTGAACCTCGATCCTCAGACCTCAGCTTCCCGATTACCTGGGATTACAGCCATGAGCCACTAGTACCCCTTACATCTTGTGTTTTGCTCGCAGTAACCCCTCTCAATTGTTTTCTCTTTCCTCCAGGTCCCCATCCCAATTGACCAACAGCTTTCACTGAAGCTCTTTGTGCCATCTCCATACATAATTGTGCAGTATTTTAAAGTGATTATCCCTCCATCTTTGCTCTCTTAATGTATAAATGAGTCATTCTGTGGTTTGGGCAGAGAACAGGATCAGCAGCCTGGCAGGCTGGCTGCACTCCTGGCTAACGCTTCAAGGCCCCCAAGGGAAGGTTCACTTCTCCCCCCATTGGTTGTGACAGCTGCCTTCTCTGCAGAATTAGATAGCCCAGAGCCTCTGGGCAGGGCCTAGACTAAAAGACAGGTTCAGATGTGGCTGCATCTGGGCGTCACTGGCTGGTGAGGACCAAGCTTCTCCTCCTGAGGGGAGGTTGAAGAGTGCATTCCTCCTCCATCTCCACATTTTCTTTGGAATCTTGAGCTCCACTGTTTATTTTTAGTAAGAGCGTCTCCCCCAGCCTCAGCTGTCCATCCACTCTGATAAATGGGAATAGTTGACACCCAGATTTATTGGGTTATGGTACAAGTTGTGTGGGCAGGGCACAGCGCAGTAACTGGCATAAGTCCCATAGTGGCCCCTGCCCTGCATCTGGTTCCATTCCTGTTCCCAGGTATGTAACCTCAGGGGCAGGTGAGTTGGCCTCTCCAAGCCTCAGTTTCTCCATCTGCAAATAACACCAGCAACAACAGCTCCTTTTATATGGGCAGTTTGATGACAGAGGCCTGGTGTGGCCCAGGCGTAAGTAATACCCAGTGAATGTCACTAGAAGAGAGAAGGGGTGTGTGTGTATAGGAAGGATAGGTACTGGTGTGGAAACTTCTAGATGAAGTTCAGAATTTCTTTTCTTTCTTCATTTCTTTTTTTTTCTGTTTCTTTCTTTCTTTCTTTGTCAGTTGTAGGACTTGAACTCAGGGCCTGAGCGCTGTCCCTGAGCCTCTTGGTACTCAAGGCTAGTGCTCTACCATTTTAAGCCACAATACCACTTCTGGTTTTTTGGTTTGTTTGTTTTTTATTGTAAAGATACTATACAGAGGGTTACAGTTACATGAGTGAGGTAATGAATACACTTCCTATTGAACATTGTTACCCCCTCCATTGTTTTCCCCCTACCATCCCTCCCCTCCCTACCTTCTGTGCCACTTCTGGTTTTTGAGTGGTTCATTGGAGATAAGAGTCTCAGGGGACTTTTCTGCCTTGGCTGGCTCACAAGATCCTCAGATCTCAACCTCCTGAGCAGCTAGGATTACAGGTGTGAGCTAAGGGCACCCTACAGATGTTTCACTTTCTACATAATCCCCCCTTTTCCCTTGCCATGCTCAGGATGGAACCCAGAGCCATGTACATGCTAGACAAAATCCCTGCTATGAGTAACAGCCCCATCTTTTTTTTTTTTGCCAGTCCTGAGGCTTGAAATCAGGGCTGGGCACTGCCCCTGAGCTTTTGTGCTCAAGGCTAGCACTCTACACTTGAGCCACAGCTCCACTTTTGGCTTTTTGGGTGTTTCACTGGTGATAAGAGTCTTACATGGTTCAAAGCCAGCCCAGGCAAGAAAGTCCATGAGACTCTTATCTCCAGTTAGCCACCAGAAAACAGGAAGTGGTGCTGTGGTTCAAATGGTAGAGTGTTAGCCTTGAGCTGAAGAGCTGAGGGACAGCGCCCAGGCTCAGAGTTCAAGCTCCACAACCAAAAAAAAAAAAGTCTCATAGACTTCCCTGCTCTGGCTGGCTTCGAACCAGAATCCTGAGATCTCAGCCTCCTGAATAGATAGGATGACAGGTGTGAGCCCCCAGCACCCAGCTTAATCTATGATTACTTTGAGATGGAGGTCTCACTATGTAAGTCCAAGCTGACCTAGAACTTGTGATCTCTCTACCTCCACCCCACTGACTGCCTCTTCAGTGCTTGGATCAGAGGCCAGATTACCTTGCCTGGCCTTTCTTGATGATTATGGTCCCAGCACCCCCGCTCTGCCTTTTCTTCAAACTGTGGCTCATGATTTCCCGAAAGGCTGGACCAGGGCAGCTGGAGGGAGGTCACTTGGAAAGTCACCAGATGGTGGCTGTTCCAGGACCGCCCTTGCCTTTATTCTTTTCCCAGTGCCCCACCCCCTCCAGCCTGGCTCGGGCTCCCTGCTTAGGCCCCAGCCACCTGAGAGGCCGCTGATAATCCTTTTTAAGACTAAAAATAGCCAGAGAGAGAGAGAGAGAGAGGGAGAGGGAAAGGGAGAGAGAAAGGGAAAGGGAGAGGAAGAGAGAGGGAAAGAGAAAGAGAAAGAGAGAAAGGGAAAGGGAGAGAGGGAGAGGGAGGGAAAGAGGGAGGAGGGAGGAGGGAGGGAGGGAGAAGGGAGGGAGGGAGAGAGAGGGAGAGAGAGAGAGGGGAGGGGGAGAGGGAGAGGGAAAGGGAAGGGGAGAGGGAGAGACAGGGAGAGGGAGAGGGAGGGAGAGAGAGGAGGGAGGAGGGAGGAGGGAGGAGGGAGGAGGGAAGGAGAGAGAGAGAGAGGGAGAGAGAGCGAGAGCGAGCGAGAGAGAGAGAGAGAGAGAGAGAGAGAGAGAGAGAGAGAGAGAGAGAGAGAGAGAGAGAGAGAGAGAGAGAGAGAGAGAGAGAGAGCTAGCCAAGGCTTTGTGCTGATTTGAGGGCCCTGCTAGGGGTGGGAAGATTCCTGCCCACATCCCAGGGCCTGAACCCCATCTCCATGTTCCTCACTGCTTCCTTGGATCCATAATTGTCCTCTACCCCCCCCCCCCCCCACCTCCCCATACAACCAGAGTTGTCTACCTCACCAAGGCTGTGTGTGGATGGACCTTTCTTTTATTTTTGTGTTTTAAATCTCGTTGGGAACAGCACTTCCCAGAGACCTTTGAAAAGGGAAAAACATTCAGAGCGTCCCACCCCCACGGAACACACCCACTCCCTTACACCCCAGTGGCCCCCCAGCAGTCTGGCCTGCCGCCCTGGGTCACTTGATTCCTGTGGTCTGGCCCAGGCCATTGTTTGTAGACTGACCACAGCCCACCTCTGCACTGGGCCCTGGCTCCAGCAGCGCCCTTGGGGAATGCTCTGACCTACTGAGGCAGCCAACTTCCCCCAACAAAGACCCCAAAGAAGGCCCTACATCTAGGGCTCTGCCTTGCCTCCATTCCCTCCCATCTTGGCATCCTCCTGACCTCTATCTGCCTTCCCCACAGCTCAATTCTTAGCTGCTTGCCAAGCTCCCAACTCACTGACCTCCTTCCTGTCCCAGGGCCTTTGCATATTCAACTCATTGTGAAAGATTAATGCTGAAAGCCTAGTGAGGTAGCGCACACCTGTAATCCTAGCACCCAGGAGGCTGTGGTAAGAAGATCATGGATTGGAAATCGGCCAGGGGAATCCATAATGACAATGCCTCAAAAAATATGTGCCAAAAAAAGCCAAGCATGATGACACAAGCTGATATCCTCAGGTACTTAGAAGTTCAAGGCCAAAGCTGGTGGCGCAGGCCTGTAATTCTAGCTACTGAGGAGGCTGAGATCTGAGGATCTCGGTTCAAAGTCAGCCCCAGCAGGAAAGTCTGTGAGACTCTTATCTCCAATAAACCACTAGAAAACCGGAAGTGGTGCTGTGGCTCAAGCGGTAGAGCAGGGACAGCACCCAAACCCAGAGTTCAAGCCCCACAACCCACAAAAAAAAAAAAAAAAGAAGTTCAAGGCTAGTCTGGGGCAACACATTTGCAAGACACCCCCCCTCCCCCCCACACACATCTCAACAAAACAAATTGTGTGAACCTGGTAATCCCAACCTAGATGAGAGGCTTAAATAGGAGGCTCATAATCTGAGCCTGGCCCTAAGACAGGAGACCCTATCTGAAAAATAACTAAAGCAAAAAAAAAAAAAAAAAAAAGGATGTGTGTATGTGGGGGAGGGGGGGGGTGGGCTCAACTGGTAGAGTTTGGCAAGTGCAAGGTCTTGCATTCAAATCCTAGTATTGCCTATGTATAAAATGTATATATATAGTTAGGGAAATGAGTCCCTTCCCATAGCTTAGTCCACTTCTTCCCTTCTCCACAGCTTAGCACACCCCTTTCCTATGTATGCAACACCAGGCCCATGTAGTAAAGGCAGTAAATAACTTCCAGCCCCCTCTACCTTGGGATGGCACTTCTTTGGGGCAGCCAGACCATAGAAGGCAACAAGAGCCCCTTAGAGTGACCTTCAGGTCTGGGCAGTTGCAGGACCCCTTATCTACTATTTGGACAGCAGCCATAATTCCTAGTGCACCATGATGAAGCCCCTGGCCCACATGTCTACACCGGGTCTCCACCTCCTAGCCCCTTCTAGCCCCTCCTAAACCTCCTAGGTTTATATAGGTCACCCCAGACAATAGCAGCACTTCTCCCTTCTCCCTGGTGAGGAGTCTTGCCCGCCCCTTTTCCTGGCAATACACCTTTCTTTGTTCTCTGGACCTGGATGTCTGCCTGGTTCTCTGGCAAGCTAACATATATAATGCACATATATGTATGTATGTGTATATATATACATATATATATGCGATGGAGATTGCTGATTAGCTTCTTATTGGCGTTGTCATGTGAATGCTGCTGAGTTTGAAAGTGTTCCAGGGGAAGTGGTTCCCTAGACAACTTCAGGTGTGGCTCAGTATTAATTCTTTTCTGGGCTCACATTTCACCTAGGAGGAGTCTCCTCAAACATCCAGAGAAGCTACTTGTTTTCCCCCTGGCTCCTGCCAGTGTTTACTTCCTCCTTCTCAGACCAGCATTTGTTTGTTTACTTTTTGTTGTTGTTTCCTATCTTAGAGCTTGAACTCAGTGCCTGGGAGTGCTATTCCTGAGCTTTTTTTTTTTTTTTAATTCAAGGCTAGCGGGTGTTCTACCACTTGCGCCAAAGATCCATTTTTTGCTGGTTAATGGGAAAGAAGAGTTGCACAGACTTCCCTGCCCGGGCTGACTTTGAAGGAGGATCCTCGGATCTCTCAGCTTCCTGAATAGCTAGGATTATAGGTGTGAGCCATCAGTGCCCAGTCGGATCGGTCCTGTGATCTACACCTGGGCTCTAGCCAATGGCAGGAACCTCACAGAAACAATGAGCATTGCTCCATGGTCTTGCAGTAAGCTAACCTCACGGCCTCAGACAGACTGGCCCACCAGTTGGTGCCAACTCAAGTGTTTGCAGAGTACACGAAGGTATCCATAGCAGATGGAAGGGCTGAGGGTGTGGCCCAAGTGGCCAGGGTATGTGTGTGTTCTCGTGGTGGTAAGCATGGCTTGGTTAGAGAACTCTTGCCTCTTGATTTGCAGACAAGCAGGTGGGTGGGTATCCAGACCGTAAGCATTATGCCCACCTTTGGTCCTCAGTTCCACCCGATCTGACTCACTCTCTACCCTGAAGTTCCTGTCATAGAGCTGGCCCCTCCCTCTCTCCGCCCAGCCCCCCTTAACTCCCATCTACCTCGCCTCCTACCTCTCAGACCCTGCAGCTACCTAGATAGTGAAGGCTGCCATGCACTCTCTCTGGGGCAATTATGGCTCTACTAATAAACCTTGTAATCATCTTTCTCCTGTGCCTGCCTCTGCGTGGTCCCCTGGGATGGATGCTTTCGCAGACTTTAGCTTATGTGAGTGAGCTTTTTTTCCCTTTTTTCTCTCTCTCTCTCTTTCCCTCTCCACCCCTCCTCTCTTTCTTTCTTTTTTCTTTTTTTGCCAGTCCTGGGGCTTGAATTCAGGGCTTGGGTGCTGTCCCTGAGTTTCTTTTTATTTATTTTTTTTTAGGGGGGGGTCCGGTCATGGGCCTGAACTCAGGGCCTGGGCGCTGTCCCTCAGCTCTTCAGCTCAAGGCCAGCACTCTACCACTTGAGCCACAGCGCCACTTCTGGCTTTTTTTTTTTTTGCTTATGTGGTACTGAGGAATTGAACCCATGGCCTCATGCATGCAAGACAAACACTGTACCACTGAGCCACCTTCCCAGCCCCCCTGAGCTTCTTTTTAAAGACAGGACTGGAGGCTGGGCTCAAGCGGTAGGATACTAGCGTAGCAAGCACAAGGTCATAAGTACAACCAAACAAAATAAAAAGTTAGCGAAAAAGAAAAGAAAAGAAAGAAAAAAAAGAAAAAGAAAAGAAAAGAAATGGCCTTCACTGATAAGCAAAGTTGGGTTGATTTCTCCCCTGCAATCACTGTCAAAGAAGGCTATAGTTATCCCACCCCTAGGAGTTGGGAAGCCAGAGACAAAAAGTACTGGGGGCTGGGAATGTGACTTAGTGGTAGAGTGCTTGCCTAGCATGCATGAAGCCCTGGGTTCCATTCCTAGTACCACATACAGAGAAAAAGCAGGAAGTAGCACTGTGGCTCAAGTGGTAGAGTGCTAGCCTTGAGCAAAAGAAGATCAGGGACAGTGCCCAGGACCTGAGTTCAAGCCCCAGGACTAGCAAAAAAAGAAAGGAAAAAAAAAAAGAGAAGAAAAATAAAACAAAAATGTGCTGGCCACAGCAAGGGTGATAGCCAGGGCAGAGCTCCTGTGGGTGGGAGGTGGCTCACAGCACTTGCATAACCCTTCCCAGCTCTGCCTCTGCCAACAGAGATGTCATCAGGCTGCAAGCTCTGGCCACACACACACCTCCTAAGCTATCAGATGCCAGGAGATCAATGCTTTGCAAGAGTCTCCCCATGTAAGGGAGTTGGGCCTTCACCCCCATATCCTTCTGCCTCAGCCTCTTGAGTGCTGGGATTACAGGTGTGCATTATTGTGCCCAGCCACTATGGGTTTGATAGCCATTTAGAGATAGTAGAAGCTTTGACAAGTCTGCAAACATATTAATAGCAAAAATGCAAAAACTTAAGAACAGTGAGAAGAAAAAGATTAAATCAGAATGTATATCTGGGAATGGTAAATATGCTAAATGCTAAATGCCACTAGGTAGCACACCTTAAAAAATGTTAAAGGCAGCCGGGCGCCAGTAGCTCACGCCAGTAATACTATCTATTAAAGAGACTGAGATCTAAGCATCATGGTTCAAAGCCAGCCTAGGCAGCAAAGCCTGTGAGACTCTTATCTCCAATTAACCACCAGAAAACCAGAAGTGGAGCTGTGGCTCAAGAGGTAGAGAGCTAACCTTGAGCTGAAGAACAGCACCCAGGCCCAGAGTTCAAGCCCCATGACCAACTGGAAAAAAACAACTGCAAAACAAAAACAAAGGTAAAGGCTGGGAATGTGGCTTGGTGGTAGAATGCTTGCCTGGCATGCATGAAACCCTGGGTTCGATTCCTCATTACCACATACACAGAAAAAGCTGGAAGTGGAGCTGTGGCTCAAATGGTAGAGTGCTAGCCTTGAGCAAAAGAAGCTCAGGGACAGTGTCCAGATACTGGACAAGCTCCAGGAATGGCTAAAAAAAAAAAAAAAAAAAGGTAAAGATGGACAGGTACAGTGGCTCACACCTATAATCCCAGTTACTTGGAAGGCAGAGACTCATGGTTTGAGGTTAGCTCAGGCAAAAGTTATCAAGAACCCCATCTCAACAAATAAGCCAGGTGTGGTATGGTAGTATGGTGTGTATCTGTAATCCCAGCCACTTTGAGATGCATAGGTAGGTGGTCAGCCTGGACAAAATGTAACACATTGTAGAAAAATTAACCTAAAGCAAAAAGAGGTAGAGGCACCCACGGTGCAAGTGATAGAGGAGAGGGCCTGCTTGGACAAGCGCGAAGCCTTGAGTTCAAACCCAAGCTTGGGGAACAAAGTAGCTGTTTATAATCTCAATACAAATACTGGAAGGCATGATTCTGTCACCAGCCCCTACCCCTCCAGGCATATGGACAGCTGTTGGAATGTAACAAGCTTTGAAGGAACCTATAAATTGTTATAAGTGACCCCATGAGCCTGTGCTGGTGGCTCATGCCTGTAATCCTAGGTACTCAGGAGGCTGAGATCTGAGGATCACAGTTCAAAGCCTGCCTGGGCAGTAAAGTCAGGAGACACTTATCTCCAATTAACCACCAGAAAACTGGAAGTGGTGCTGTGGCTCAAGTGGAAGAGTACTAGCCTTGAGCTGAAGAGCTCAGGGACAGCGCCCAGGCCCAGAGTTCAAGCCCCTTCACCAACAAAAAAAGAAAAGAAAAGAAAAAAACAATGACCCCATGGCTAGCCTCTTGGAAGTTACAGTGGGCACCAGATCCAAAGAGTCTGAGAAGGTACAGACAGAACCTGCCAGATAGTTATGGGGTACAGGTGTCTCTCTTTAAGAGGAAATGGATAATTGGTTAGTGGCTCAGACCTGTAATCCTAGTTATTTAGGATTAAGATTTGAGGATTATTGTTCAAAGACAGCCCAGGGTAGGAAAGTCTCTGAGACTCTTATCTCCAATTAACCACACACACACAAAAAAAGCTAGAAATAGGGCCGTGGATCAAAGTGGTAGCATGCTAGCCTTGAGCACAAAAGACCAAGGACAGTGCCTAGGCTCTGAGTACAAGCCCCAGGCCTGGCAAAGAAAAAAAAAAAAAAAAGAGGGAATAGATAAAAGTGATTTTTGTGGTTGTTATTGCAGGGGATGGGGGGGGGGGGGGCAGGCCTGACACAGGGACTGCTTGCTTGGACAGGAAATTATGGGACCCACAGCTCAGGAGGGGGAGGTGGTGAGGAAACCAAGGGGGGTAAATTCTGGGCATGGATTTGTGAGAGAGGAGGAGAGTAGGGAGGGAGGTCAGGCCTGCTCTGCCCCAGTCAGGGTGCTGGGGGTCTGGGGGGCGGGGGAGAGGCGATGTGGAAGCTGGACTTTGGAATTTGCAAATCTGAGCTCTGCCCCTGGGTGGCCCCAGAAAAATTACCAGAGTGGGAATGTGGGGGGGGAAGCCTGGGGTAAAAACAGCTGCCGCCATAGGAGCCACAGCCTCTGGGCGGGAAAGAGCCAATACTGGACCGTGATTTGTATACATTCTTCTGGCATATAGGCCACCCTTGGTTTGTCAGAAAGGACACTACCGTCCTTTATGCCCTAAAGCATTTATTTGTTTAGTTATTTACTTATTTGGGTTGTGGAGCTTGAACTCAGGGCCTAGATGCTGCCCCTGAGCTTTTTGATCAAGTGCTGTACCACTTTTGATTCACAGCGCCACTTCTGGGTTTTGAGTGGTTCATTGAGATAAGAGTCTCATGGACTTTCCTGCCTGAGCTGGCTTTGAACCAAGATCCTCAGCTCTCAGCCTCCTGAGCAGCTAGGATGGACAGGCGTGAGCCACCAGTTTAGTGTGTTTTCATATATATTTTTAAATTTAATTTGTTTTTGCAATGTGTATGTGTGGATACTGGACCTGGGCTTTTTTTTTTCTTCTTCTTCTTTTTTGCCCCTAGTGGGACTTGAACACTCTACCACTTGAGCCACAGCACCACTTCTGGTTTTCTGGTGGTTTATTGGAGGTAAGAGTCTCGGACTTTCCTGCCCAGGCTGGTTTGAACTGTGATGCTCAGATCTCAGGCTCCTGAGTAGCTGGTATTACAGGTGTGAATGTAATTACTGGTACCCTGCTCCACATCATCTTGTTAAAGAAGCCTTGATCGCCTCCAGATTGAACCCCCTTATTCTTGCCATGTTTTCTGGCCTGTTTCTGTGCCAGACTTTCCAGTGTCCTCACAAAAAATGAGATACTTCTCCAAGTCTAGCCTCCAGCTAAGTTGTCAGGAAACTGCAGCAAACACTCCAGTGCTTCAGGAAAACTGAGGCACTGGATTCCTCCAAGATCATAAAGGAGGTTGCAGAAAACTGGGGCTGGACCCTCAGCCTGCCTATCTCCAGAACCTGTGCCCTTATTCCCACTTCAATCCATTCAGCTCAGTCTCTCATCTCATAAACATTTATTTGTCAGATGCTGGGTTCTACCCCAGGTGTCCCAGCAAGGGGACTTGAATTCAGGGCCGGAGTGTCTCTTAGCTTTTTTTTTTTTTTGGGGGGGTCCAGTCATGGGGCCTGAACTCTGGGCCTGGGCGCTGTCCCTCAGCTCTTCAGCTCAAGGCTAGCACTCTACCACTTGAGCCACAGCGCCACTTCCGGCTTTTTTCTTTTTGCTTATGTGGTGCTGAGGAATCGAACCCAGGGCCTCATGCATGCAAGGCAAGCACTCTACCACTGAGCCACCTTCCCAGTCCCGAAGCTGAGAGACCCTTATCTCCAATTGACTAGCAAAAAGCCAGTGACTCAAGTGGTAGAGAACCAGCCTTGAGGGGCTGGGAAGGTGGCTCAGTGGTAGAGTGCTTGCCTTGCACACATGAGGCCCTGGGTTCGTCAGCACTACATAAGCAGAAAAAGCTGGAAGTGGTGCTGTGGCTCAAGTGGTAGAGCGATAGCCTTGAGCTGAAGAGCTGAGGGACAGGGCCCAGGCCCAGAGTTCAGGCCCCATGACTGGCAAAAAAAAAAAGAAGCGTCTCTCAGCTTCTGTATGGCTTCTGGCTTTCTGCAATAATCCTCTAGATCTCAGCCTCCAGAGTAGTTCACCCTGGAGGTGAACATGGTAGTTATTTTGTAGTAGTTTGTTTCATTGTGTTTAATGGTGACTCTTGCCTGCCAGAAGAAGAGTGCCCAGTCAGGCACGGAAGACACAGTTTGAAAGACAGGTATCAAGAGAACTTCCTTGAGAAGGTGATATTTGAGCAAGTGCAGGGCAAGGGTGGAGGGGGAAGACTGGAAGGAATCCAGAGGCATAGAGCATTCTAGCCAGAACAAACAGCCAGTGCAAAGGCCCTGGGGCAAGACACAGATAAGAAGCCAGTGTGTACAACACAGGGGAGAGTGGGAGTGAGTGAGAGCAGGGAGATGACAGCCATCCATCCATGTCACAAATATCTCCTTTGGTG